ATAAGGGATTTTCAGTTTATACAATTAAGCATGCTTTACAAGAAATTCTAAGAGAATTATACATGCTTTCATATAGCATTTTTAGCAAGTTAACAATACAATAGACATAGAAAATCAATACTTAGGCATGTTTTTCATACAAATCAACTAATACACAAAATCATGAACTTAGTACACCACAATTAAATGATTTTAGGGATAGTCAACACCAATTAAACATGCTAACAATAATTGACAAGGAATTAACTCACAAAGATACAAGAAAACATAAATTAGAGACGCTACCTCAAAATATGCAAAAGCCCCCCATTTGCCTAATCCAAACCCTAGAATTCGAAATTCTTAGGGTGCACCAAAACCACATTTGCTCCGATCAAATCAAAGATCTCGACGCGCTCTCCGTTTTGTCGCAAACGGCTCCCAAAAATACCAAAAGTTGAGAGAGAAATCTAAGTTTAAAGATTGAAACCAAAAGAAAAAGAAAAAGAAAAATTAGAAATAGGAGAGAAAGAGAGAGGGACTTACGGGAGAGAGAGAGAGAGTGTGTGAAATGAGGAAAATGTGGCCAAAAATGGTCTTTGGCCCTTTTTCTAAAAAAATTAACCATTTAAATTATCTTTTCTCTTTTTAATTTAAACCACAAATATATATATACATACACACTTAACAATCCACAACCACATATAACACATTAAATAAAATAAATGTGATACAAATGGACCTAAATAACAGTTCGTATACGACAATTTCAGTAGCAGGTCCTATACGGGACCGTCCGGCTCAAAAAATAGAAAAAAAAAACGAAATAGCAACTCTAATATTTCAAAGAGTTCTGGACTCAATGAAATATTCCAACCAACTTTCAGACACAACCGGCACACTCTACGGTATCCGGCACCCAAAATGAGAAAAGACGAGAATGCTCTTGCCAAAACAGAAAATTCCAGAAATTAGAAAATGACGAAAATCGAACACATCACACAATGCAGATATAAATCATACTTGAAGCCACTGAAACAATACTTTTTGACATTAAAAGGCAAACATTATTTAAGGTAATTTAGGACCAACATAAAGTACAATATATTAAAAGCACCAAATTCCCCAATAAAGTTGTTGGGTTGATTGATTCATGAGGTGGGCTTTTGGACGTGTTTAGCAGCGTGCCATGAATTGAATTGCAATCTACTCGACATAATTAAGGTTTTCTTAATTAGGAGTCCACCAACTCTATTTGTTTACTTGTTTGTATCTGGGATTGGTAGAGACATATATGTTCCTCTGGGTGGATGATGAATTATGGGATCAATTAGGCATGTTTCCCTAATTAGTTTCCTATTCCTTGTTTTCTAATCACTTAGGCATGTTCCCCAATAGATGCTTGATTATGTAATGCTGTAAGTATTTCCTTGGGATACTCGGTTTCTCAGTTGTCTTTGTGACCTTCTCTCTCTTCTCAGCTGTTGCCTCCACAGCCTTGTCTTGGTTGTATGGTTGAGAAAATGATATGTTTCAACAGGTTCATGTTTCAAGAAAGTCTACATGTCAATTATTTTCTCCTCCAAATTTGGATAGAGAAACACTAATAATACAACACCGTCATACAATTTAATTTTTTTTAAATTTCTTTATTAATGGAGTAAAGGGTAACGGTATGGCAACGGCAATCGCCAATACCGGTTGGCTACCCACAATTTTTTGCCTGCTATTATTATATCTGTATGGTATGGTAACAGAAGGTTTGACAATATATTTAGGACGTAACAAGTTAGTCGATTGGAAGTATGGATGCAGACACATGACACGAGTACGACACGATATGAATATAGGGATACGAAAAATTTCAAAAAAATAAGACACGAATATAACATGGGTACATCGAAAAATAATAATAAAATATTTTATTATATATAGAAAAGTAATCAATTTTATTCATTTTAGCACATAATCATGAATAAAAATACTAATTTGGAATTTATAATTAAATGTTTATTATTTTAAAGTGTATATTATACGTAGTATTAGTTGATAATGTATTTTAAATTGCATTGAATTTTATTATTATAACAAAAATAAATACAAAATCATTTCGTCGTGTCTTGGAAGTATCCAAAATCTGTCCTGGTGGCGTCCATACTGTGTCCCAGCCTTGTTCAACTAGAAAATAAAGTATTCAAATTTCAAGACACTTCTAATAGAGTCCAACATATGTCAAAACCGTGTTTTCATGTCCGAATTATGTTTGAGTATCCAATACAGCCACAACACTCCTAAGTAAAGAAAATGTCCATATTTCTTAAATTAAAAGACTACAAACAATTTTGATATGGAACATCGAAAAAAATAAGACACGAATATAACATAGGTACATCGAAAAATAATAATAAAATATTTTATTATATATAGAAAAGTAATCAATTTTATTCATTTTAGCACATAATCATGAATAAAAATACTAATTAGGAATTTATAATTAAATGTTTATTATTTTAAAGTGTATATTATATGTAGTATTAGTTGATAATGTATTTTAAATTGCATTGAATTTTATTATTATAACAAAAATAAATACAAAATCGTTTCGTCGTGTCTTGGAAGTATCCAAAATCTGTCCTGGTGGTGTCCATACTGTGTCCCAGCCTTCTTCAACTAGAAAATAAAGTATTCAATTTCAAGACACTTCTAATAGAGTCCAACATGTGTCCAAACCGTGTTTTCATGTCCGAATTATGTTTGAGTATCTAATACAGCAACGGCACTCCTATGTAAAGAACGTGTCCATATTTCTTAAATTAAAAGACTACAAACAATTCAACCCCCCCTCCCCCCAACCAATTGCCAGCCCCACACCAACCTATATTATAGCTAAACTGATTGCCAGCCGTACTAGATGGCCTAATAAAGCTATATATATTTTCTTTGAAGGACTTGCTAAAAAAATAATGTTGATCTTCGAAACTTAATTTGATCAAGCAAATTTTGGGTTAAAATTGAGGTAAATCCCACTAAACCTTTGTGTCGGTTCCACCTGGCATGCGCTCAGAGTAGATGAACGTAATCCTCAAAACCATTTCTGAGTGAATAATAAATTGGATTCCAAGTAAAAATTAATTCTGCTTGGACTTGGACCTGACTAGAAATGTTCAAACTTTCAAATTTTAAATAGATTCGGGTCAGCCCAGTTAAGAAGGGACATTATTCTTCAGGTCAGTTGATTCTACGCTTTCTTTGGAATGCACCAGTGAAAGAAAGATCGATATATTTTGGAAGACAAAAATCAATAGAGACCGTTTAGTTTGGTTTATTAATTTAATTTTCGCATATAGTTATATTTGATCCGGGCATAGTATAATTGATAAGTATATAAAAAGACTGAAATAATTGGACAATTGTGCTTCGGTAGCTGACACCTGTACAAAATCTTTTCTAAATTTGTAGTAATCCACAATAAAATTTGTGCTTTTTTTTCCTGGTTAATCAACAATACAATTAAGGTTTCAAAATGAAATATTGTTTGTTTATGGTTTAAAACATTGATATGTGTCGTTTTCCATTCGAGCTTGCAATTTATTTATGGGGTGGATTACGAAAAAATAATAATAATAATAATTGTTCTGTTTGTATTAGTGACGTAATATCACCAACTAATTAAATGCTAACACGTAATGATATGACTTACTAAAATAAAATGTATTTATTTATATGACAAGAGGGGTGCTAATCATAGTAACCCCGTGAATGTAGAATCTCAGTTGCTAGTTTAGTAATTGACCTGAGAAACTTCATAAATCTCCACGATTTTATATTAAAAAAAAAAAATTACCATAAAATAAATAGAAAAAAAGTACTATAATTTTTTTTAAAAATCTGATTTTATTTATTTTTATTTGAAAAACAACCTAATACTTCAAAACAGATAATAGGGATATGATAGTACTTTTTTCACTGATTTTTTTTATTTTTTTAATATGAAACCTCCACGGTTCCATCTCACTTTAAAATTTTATTTTTTACAAAATTCCATATCTAAAATATTTGAAGTTCCAACACTAAAATTTTCTTTATACAAAAGTCCATATCTAAATGTTTGAAGTTCAAATCTGAATTTTTTCAAATTCGTATTCTTTGTACTCGAAGTATTGCTCTAATTTTTCAGATTAAAAAAATAAAAAAATTATCATAAAATAAAAAGAAAAAAGTACTATAATTTTTTTTCAGATTGTACTTTTTTTTTCATCTGATTTATTTTTTTATTCAAAAAACAAACGAATACTTTGAAACAGAGAACAGGGATCTAAAAAAACAGATAATTTTAGAGAGAGAACCAGATTATAATACTTTTTTCACTGGTTTTTCAGTTAGGAGGCTAGTATAGTAATTATATATAATGAGAGACCCAAAAGGAAGTTAGCATAAAAATAGTAATTAATTATTGGAAAAAAAATACAAGCGTCAATCACTAAACTAGCGACTGAAATTCTATAGTTGCCACTCCCCTGGTTAATCAACAATAGAATTAAGGTTTCAAAATGAAATATTGCTTGTTTATGGTTTAAAACATTGATATGTGTCGTTTCCCATTCGAGCTTGTAATTTATTACGGGGTGGATTACAGAAAATAAAAAATTTAATTACGTTGTTTGTATCACTGATGTGATATCACTAATTGATTAGATACTAACACGTGATGATAGGACTTATTAAAATAAAATGTAATTATTTATATGACAATACAATTGGTTAATAGCAAGCATGGTCCTATTAACTTGCCAAAATTACAAAGCACATGGACTTTATTGGCTCCAATTTTCACTGACGTGGAGTCAAAGTCAATGCTGTATTCTATACCCTTATCTTGTTGCTATCGTTAAGAATCCTATGTGTATATATTCTATTCCCTCTATCTTTGCTACCAGTAAGAATCTCAACTGTTGTTTTTATTGATCTAGACTCTATATAGACCACAAAACCTTGTTCTTGTAATTGCAATAAATATTCTTCACTGACTAAGCCTAGACAGCTAGGCACCATAATTTTGAGCATATTACTTAACATATGCCTCTAATTGTCTTCTTGTCAGTGGAACACGTTTCAGCTATCTTACATTGCCAAAGTTCATATTTCGGCTTCGATCTTCCACTATTAAATAGAGATCAGAGTACTGATTAATTTTATGTAGCAAAAAACTGAGTTAAGGCTGTGTTTGCTTCAACTTGTCAAATTGAACGATTAATCAATCGATATTTCAGCTGTCTCACATGCATCAAGCTAGTCAAGAATATCCCAATCCAGTCCAGGAATTATGTGAAGCTAATAATTTGGCAGTAGAAAACAAGTCTCCAAGGATGACTCTCCTTGCTAGCATTGGTTACCATGAGTATTTCTCACCAGAGGTAAGATTAATCACTTTGGTGCATAACAAATTACCTGGACTGTGTGCATATATGTATATATAAAATACACACACGCATATATCTTTGTCTTTGTTTATAAAGTTTATGATGTGGGACACTTTTAGTTTACACTTTTATCAACTTTTCTTTCTGTTGCAGTCAGATCAATCATTCATTCTCAATCCGAAATGACATTATAATCAAAATCCACTAACTTTGGCTAGAGGTCGATAAGTTCCATCATTTAGTGCTTTGAAATCGTGTGTTTTTTTAGAAACGTTTAAATATTTTGGGACCTTTGTTGGAGGTCTAAACAAATTTGAATTCTTCTGAATTTTTTTATAATTTTTAAAGACTGCTAAATTGGAGTGTTTTTAGGAGGATTCCTTTTGATTTTTTTTACTAATTATAAATGCATGTATTGGAAAAGAAATTTATTCATTATTCACTCATCTAATCCTTAAACTTTGTGAATTCTAGGTTCTTCTGTGAGCATTCATAACGTCCCCTTTGCTGGTTTAGTACTTTTTACACAATGTAACTGTGTGTGCAGTCGTTTGAGACAAAGAGGACTGAAGGTTCCCCATTGTTTCCTTATTTCAGATGTGGAGAGGAGCACTTACTGAGTTAGTAGCAACTGCAACCCTTATGTTCACTCTTACCACCTCCATCGTCGCCTGCTTGGACTCCCACGAGCCGGACCCTAAGCTCATGGTCCCATTCATCGTCTTCATCATCGCCTTCCTCTTCCTCATGGTCACAGTCCCTCTTTCCGGAGGCCACATGAGCCCGGTCTTTACTTTCATCGCTGTACTCAAGGGTGTCATAACTTTTGCTCGCGCCTCCATCTACATCTTGGCACAATGTGTTGGATCAATCATAGGGTTTCTAATAGTAAGGAGTGTTATGAGCCATAATGCAGCACAGAAGTACTCCTTAGGGGGCTGCACCATCGGCAGCCATGTATCATCACCAGGGATAAGCCCGGAAACTGCATTCGTTGTAGAGTTCTCGTGCACATTTGTAGTACTTTTCGTTGGCGTAACAGTGGCTTTCGACAAGAGAAGGTGCAAAGAACTTGGCATAGCCATGGTTTGTGCTGTGGTGGCAGGGGCTATGGCAATTGCAGTGTTTGTGTCCATAACAGTAACCGGGCGGGCTGGCTATGCAGGCGTGGGTCTAAACCCGGCTCGGTGTCTAGGCCCAGCTTTGTTGCAAGGAGGCATATTGTGGCATGGGCATTGGGTATTCTGGGTTGGACCATTTCTTGCTTGCATTGTTTACTATGGTTTTTCTGTGAATTTACCAAGAGAAGGTTTAGCGTGGGTTGATGGAGAGTATGACTTCCTAAAGTTGGCCGGGGCTTGTCTGGTAAATGGAAGCCCAATTTCTCCTCAGAACAGAGCTATGCCTAAAGTCTAACACATGTTACAAACAATTCTACATAAATTTTATTAATAGGCCAGTGCCTAGCGGTACTAGACCCTACTTCTTAAATGGATGTTAGGGGTTCAAGTCTCAGTAGAACCCTACTTCTTAAATGGATGTTAGGAGTTCAAGTCTCAGTAGAGGTACGTGTGTGTGAGTACTAAGTAAGAAAAAAAACATTCTACATAAATTTTTATTTGCAGAGAGAGTAATTGCTACTGTCATAGTATATGAAAAGTAAAATAAAAAAATAAAAAATAGTATGTTTCATGATGGTTTCAAATTCTGTGAAGTGTAATGGTTTCATATCCTCTAAAGTATCTTCAACAGATCAAAGCTTCAACCATGTCTAAAGCATATCATTAGTGCAATTAAGTGAACATCACAGTTACAGTACTTAAGAACTTGTAATCATTTCCTCAATGTTGATTTTATATTTCTTACACATTTTTCTTTCCTTCGTATCCGACAGTAAGACACCTTATAATATTATGAGGAAGAAGCAGCAAGCGGCTCATGCACAACCGAGTTTTTGGAAACCAAAATCGGATTTCCCTCCAAGTGCAACATAATAGTCTCCAAAATTTCAGTCAGTATCTTCTTGAACTCGTCCTCTCTAACAATCTTCCCGTCATCACCATCCAACATCTCAAAAACGTCGTTAATAACCTTGTCCATCTGTGAAATTTGAAGGTCAAATTTAGTAATAAATCACTAGGACAGGCATAACTCTCTATGTACATAATCTTAAAATGATCAAAGCTAGGAGGGCACTTAGGCATTGGAAAGATAGACCAACACCAGAGGTTTAAGTTACACCAAGTGCACTACCTAGATTAACCATAAGTAGAAGCAGAAATACCAGAAAAACAAATTTCAACATCACCAGTTGCTGCGATAATATGATAAGAAGTCCCATCATATGCTAAATTAATCACAGAGTTTTAGCAAAAGTGATTAAGGAATGGTTATCATAAGAGCACTTGTGTACAGGTTGTTGACTTCTTATGCATGAAAGATTGAACTGCCATTTAGGCCCGTTTGGATTGGCCTTTCAAACTACGCTAGCTTTTGGTTTTTTGAGTTTGGAAGCCATTTTGAGTAGTGTTTGGCTAAAATTTTTAAAAATCTTTTGAGTCGTGAAAGAGCGTTTTGGAGAAGCTGGTACCCCTTAGCTTCTCCAAAACGCTTAGACTGGAATATGTCAAAAAGATATGTCGATTTGAAATAACATGGTATACCTGATCAACTGCACCACATGGAGGCAAACCTGCCGATGGGGACACCACATCAAGCGCCACTCGCAGAGATTCCTTTGACATTTTCCCATTTTGATCCCTTACCACATCTTTCAACGCTGCGTCTAGTGTCTGAATTGCAAGATAAATGCAAAAGATATTTCCAATGAGTATTGCTGAATTATGTAGGATAATGTTAGGGTTTGTATGTGTGATAGAAAAGTTCAAAATATCAAGTCATATTCTCTTTGCAGGTTTATAGTTTTACTAAAATCGTTCCAAATTCTGAGCTAGTCCAAAAGCTCCAACCACATGAACGTGACAAGCTGTCATTCACAGCATCAAGATCTAAAATCATTAGATATATGAAGTCTAAATTAATTGCTAACCTTGTCCAATTCAAAGTTGTTAGATAAAAGTCTCTTAATGCTGCTTCCATCAAAGGTACTCTCACTGTGAGCAACTATAACAGGCTGCTCCTTCAGACGTTGAGCCATTCTCTCTGCTACTTTCTGAAACTCTGCCAAAAATACCTCCGGAGAGATGGGCTGCTCATTAACACCACCACAAGATTGCAGTGCCGGCTCTACCATATTGTTCATAACCTACAAAATGAAAAAATAATAATAATAATAATAATAATAATAAAGAACATTGTGAAATTGTCTAATACAGAGATATTGTGATGCAAGGAAAGAGTATAGACATCTTACACCATCAAGGATCATCATAATTCAGATGGTAATTTTCAATAAACATACATATATTACAAAAATTTAATATATCTATGGATTTGGGCTCCCTATCTTCTGAATCAACTTTTCCTCAATTATATTACAAATAAAAGGATAATAAGGTATTCCATATAAATCACAGTCTTGTGCATTGAGGGTGGAGGAACCTTAGGATATCAAAAATCGAAGCACCTTTTGAATTTATCAATATCAAAAGTAAAGTTCAATGGGATTGTAAGAACTACCCAATAATCGGAAGCAGGAGGCATCCCTTGATCAACACTAAGATTTTCAAAAGCCTTGAAAATGTAATCACGGAGGGCTCCTTCTGGCAACTCTATCTCTGTAAATATAGAAAGCATCTCTGATTCAAAATTCGGGCTCTTGGTAAACTCAAGGAGGTCTTCCCCATCCATACGGAGAATCATAATAGGATCTCGCTTCAAACCAGCAGCCATTGTTCCTGGTAGAATATCTAAAATAAGGCAATTTGAACTGAGTCTTGCTCCCTTTTATTGTCGGCCATGAGTGAATTCATTCATTCAAAACCTGTAACATCCCGACATAAATACAATTTCTGAGGGTACAATTGATGCAAATGTGAAAGAAACATAAGGCCAATCATCACTCAGTGAGCTTAATTACTTATTCCAAAGGCACATAGTTTTCAAACTTGTGGAAGTTAGTGAAGAAACATTGTAACAGATGTGGACCAAGTGCCTACTAACATCATGCCATCCCTTTCTTGATGTTACAAGCTTATCATTTTACATCGTACAACACTATATACCAAAAGTTTGTAGGTCATTAATAGTCATTCCTGCCTAACCTAAAGTATATCAAACAAAGCTATTGACATGGCTTCAAAGTAACTTTTAAATAAATACTACTTTTCATCAAAAGAACTCTATTGAGCCAATTGCTAAGAATTTAAAGTCATTCATGAACTTAACACAGTTCCCACTATATTCTTCCCTTTAAGAAGATTAGGATAAGCAACAAAACAAGTAATTAAAAAAAGTAGAATAAGGAAAAAGAAGAAGCAGCAATTGAAAAGCAAAGTCTTTTGTCACCAACAAAGTTGGATTATAGGTGTTGGATGCTTCTCAAGATATATAGGGATATATATATATATATATGCATATATACATATATGTAAGTTCGAAAATTCCTCTTCCTAGATGCTCTAGGAACACAAGCACATGCAACCATCTCTATCCTTTTAAATTTAAAACTAAAAAATATGGAGTCATTCAAAGATAAATAAATAAATAAAACAAATTGTATTACTACTCAAGTACTGAAAAGTAAACCAATTAAACAACAATGAACACATAAATGACCAATAGAAACAGTGACGGAGTCAGGATTTCAAGTGAGGGGGCACATCGCCAAAAAAAAAAATACGGAGTACATATATATATATATATATATATATATATATATATATAATAACTATAAAATTTAAAATGACAAAGAAAGAAGAAAATTATTAAAATATAAAATGAAAGAAAAATGAAAGAACTTTAATAGAAAATAATTAAAAAGTTTCAATTGAGGAAGAAAAATTTAACTTTTTCTACTAAAGAAATTTAAGGAATGTGAAGAGTAAAAGAAAAAATAAGAATATAATTTTAGAAATTACAAATTTGAGGGGGCCACTATATAAATTTTTTCATATATATGGAATTTTTTTAAAAAATTATAACATATATTATAGGTTGCTGGCCAATTCAGGAGGGGCACGTGCCCCCCCTAGGCCTTCATTGGCTCCGTCACTGAATAGAAATATGTATACATAGTTCTCACATGAACTTTTTCAGTGTTCACTATTCCTCCTCTCTAATTAAAAACAAAATAATTGGTTACAGTTGCAAACTTGCAGCTATATATTCAATGTAATTAATTTCTACATAAAACTCAACAATTTTATAACCTTTTCCCAACAATTTTCCACACCAAGATGTTCAAAAACAAAATACAAAACACCATTCAAGGATATTTTTTATTATTATGCCCAAAATGTCACTTAATTTTGGAATCTTAAGGGCCTGAGCCATTAGTGCAGGATTTAGGAGGGTAAGGTATATGCAGTTTTACCTCGACATGGAAATGTTGTTTCTGAACCTGTGTGTCATATGAAACGACCTTACCGTTGCGCCAAGCCCATCCTCAAAGCAAAAGCATTGCTAATTACAACATATATAACTACACACAAATATGTAATAGATAGGAAACGGGACAAACCTAATAATAGATATGATCAGAATCAGGAGAAGTATCCTTAGGAAGCAAACCGAGAGCAGCACCTATTATAGGCCACAATCTCCATCAATCCACTTCTGATGATATCTATAAAATTTACTAAACACCAACTACCTCTCCTTCCCAACCAACTCGTTATATGATCTGAAGTACCGTTGACCCCCAACGCCTTTCTTCTTCATCACATTCACAGTGTTCTCTTCCATTCACCACTACCCCTTTTCCCTATCAACCTCTTCTTTTTCTTAATGATACTTTTGCCTGGCCTTTTGCATGAGACTCGTGAGTGAGAGAGAGAGAGTAATTGTATTTGAGGGATGGTATTCAACTAGAAGCATTATACCGACACCGGACACGACTATAACCATATGGATAAAAAATAATAGTATAATATATATATTATTATGTTTTTATATAATTCTTTTGCCATTTTATTTATATATATATATATATATATATTATTAAAAGTGTAAAGAGTTTAGTATTTCAATATTCATTTAATAATATAAATAATATTTATTAATTAATATAAAAAGAGTCTTTAAAAGAGTTTCTATAAAACTCTAAAATAAATTACCTATCTATAATGAGTTTTTATTTTTAATTAATATAAACTATTTAGAAAAGTTTCTATAAAACTCAAATTATCTATTTATTATGAGTTTTTTTTATTTATAAGCAAACCTAATTAGACAAGAAAATACATAAAAAAATAATAATTTAGTCTGTCTAATTAAATGAAGAAATATATAAAAATAAATAAATAATTTAATCTATTTATTTTCCACATCTTTTCTAATTTTATAAATAATATATAAATAATTTTCTAAGCTTTTAACAATATAAAATATCTATTAATTAATATAAAAAGAGTCTTTAAAAGAATTTCTATAAAATTCTAACACAAATTACCTATTTATTATGAGTTTTTGTTTTTAATTAATATAATGTAAGTAGAAGAGTTTCTACAAAATTCAAATTACCTATTTATAATGAGGTTTTTTTTTTAAAAAAAAAAACAAAGAAAATCTAATTAGATAAGGAAATATGTAAAGAAAATAAATAATTTAGTCTGTCTAATTAGACAAGGAAATATATATGAAAAATAAATAATTCAGTCTATTTATTCTCCACATCTTTTCTAATTTTATAAATAATATATAAATAATTTTCTTATTTTTAGTATTTCAGTATTTATTTAATAAAGTAAAAAATATTTATTAATTAATATAAAAAGAGTTTTTAAAAAAGTTTCTATTAAACTTTAACACAAATTACCTATTCATTATGAGTTTTTGTTTTTAAATTAATAAAGGTTTTTAGAAGAGTTTCTATAAAACTCAAATTACCTATTTATTATGAGTTTTTTAATAAAATGAAATCTAATTAGATAAGAAAATATATAAAAATAAATAAAAAATTTAGTCTTTCTAATTAGACAAGAAAATACATAGAGAAAATTTATCAAAAATATAAATTATTTAGTCTATTTAGTCTCTACATCTTTTCTAATTTTATAAATAATATATATATATATATATATATATATATATATCATTTTTTAATATATAAATAAATAAAATATTAGTAAATTATAATGAAAAATAGTATTGATTTTGATATTATTTTAGGAGTTTGAAAATATACCTATCAATAATTGAATTCCTACTGTAAAGTTCAATTAAAAATTATTATTTTTATCTCTTTTAACTTTTGTCAATTTTATGTTTATGGATATTTTAGAATTTACAATTATTAAATTACTTTGTTAAATATTGATTTTAAATTAAATTTTATTCACGTACAATGCAAGTACAGTTTTACTAGTTATGAATAAAATAAATAGAACTTAGAGCTAAATGTTTGTTATTTTTGTTTTCTTAAATTTTATATTATTTTTAATTAACCTATAATTGTTGAACCGAGAAGGGGGGTAAATTGGTTAAAATTTTGCTTTCAAAAACATTCTCACATACAAAGTAAGCATTCAAAGAACATATAATACAAGATTTACAAGGAAACCCTCTTAATTAGGAAAAAACCTTAGTTTTTGGCTTCGACCAATAAGCAATCCACTAGTTGTATTTATCTTGTTACACACTGCTGTTGGTTTCCTTGATGGAGTCGCCACAACCAACAAAGCTTGAAAGTTGTGTATGAATTTAGGAGGTGGCCAAGTTTTACATTTATAGAAAGCCACTACTACCTTTCTCTATATAAAATATAGATAGGGCGAGTAGGGATCGTCCCAAGGGATTTGATGGTGTATCGAATTGTGAAACTATGGTAATTAGGGTTAGTAGGTCGAGTGATCACACAATTGGTTGGTTGGTTGATTAAGCTAAATTGAATTCAACTAAATAAAATAATATGAGGTAAACAAGAAAGAGAGAGGTCTTGGGGTGTAGAGATCACCACCAAGCAATACTTTTCTATACTACTAACAAGTGATCAATTGAGGGTAATGGATGTGTTGCAATATGATAAGGGTGTGTGTGCATTAGGTTGATTCAATTGGTAAGGATGACAAATCAAGCAAGTATTGTCTAAACATCATGTGAAGAGCACAATATATCTAAACAATAGAGCATATATTGTCTAGACAACATGGGGATAGCACAATAGATCAAAACAAGTCATTAATCCTTCATTAAGCTCACAATCCACATGCAACACAATGTTAGAGGAATATGCCATTTGGACTCACAAGCATGGAACATCAAACATCAAGAGTAGATTGTCCTCCCATCTAACATTACACTACCACTACACTAAATCTACACTACTAGCATGAAAATAAAGCTATCTAGACTAGGGGAGAGGCATAAACCATCAAGAATAGGCATAAACCATCAAATGAACCAAAATAACATTCATTAAGCATATCATCTTAACAATCTCTAGATCTATAGCATCAATACATATAGACATGTATCAAAAACACTAAATCTAGAGATAAGCACATGAATATCCTACTCTAGCATACATAGACATATGGATAGAATAAAATAGTCAATTGGAAGCATTAAACCATACAAACCATGAAATAATCAAGATTTATATATACATGAATATCAAGATGTATCATACAACACTAATCCCTCAATAATACATAAGATTAGAGTATAGAAAACATGCTTGGGGCTAACTCTAGCCCCAAGAAGATGTCTAGCCACTCATGGTAGTGATGATCCAACCCTCAAGGGCTAACTCCATGGCTGCTCCTTGTTGGTGAAGATCTCCTCCAATGGTTGCTCTAGCTTCCTCCCTTCTTCCTCTCCAAGAATAGCCTCCAAGATGATTTTTAATGTGTGACAAGAGACTCTAGAGCCCTCTCCAAAAAGTGTATCATATTCCTTATATAGGTAGATCAAATACACCCTATGATGAGCTGTGGTCGTGCAAGGCATATTCTCCAATGATTGGGTGAAGGATGGAATAAATGAGCTGGACTTTAACTTTTTCTCGCTGGAGGAAGTTCGATCGATCGAACCTTAACCTGGATCGATTGAAATGGTCTGACTCCTCCGGATAAGGACAAGGCTGAGATATTTCGAAGATATTTATGGGGAAAAGGACAAAAGTGGTTGGTAGGCGTACAGCTGTGGATAAGATCAATCATTTGAATAGGACAAAATAGGGTTCGATCGATCGAAGGTGATGTTCGATCGATCGAACTTGGAATTTCAGCAAAGGCCAAGGTTGGATCTATCGAGAAGTACTATGATCGATCATAGATGTTCGATCGATCGAACTCTAAGTTGGATCGATCGAACTTTTCAACTGCACAACTTAATCCCTTTTTGCTCCTTTCTTTCTCCACTTTGCTCCCTCCTTTGGTTTATCTCAGGATTGCTTCAATTAAGCTCTTATTTGGCTGAGTTAGCTCAATTTTGGGATTAGTGCCTGAAAATATAAATAACACGTAATAAGTCTAAAACGGCAAAGTAAGATAGATAAATGTACTAGAATTCTTAAGCTTAACGGGTTTAAATACGCACTTTTCGGTGCTCATCACACCCCCAAACTTAAATATTGCTAGTCCCTAGCAATGAACTAAGAAGTAAAGGAATGAAATGAACAACTAAACAAGTATAAACTGGAAAGCAAGTAAAATGATAACACCATTTTCGTAGGGAACACGATTGCATTTAGCATATGCAACAAGCCTTTTAAACCCCTAGGTTACCCCTAGTGGACGAGTAAAGTCTCGTGAGGGTTTCCAGAAATGGTACCCACAAATATTAAGCTCATTCATTCAAAAGAGGCACAAATATTGCAAACAAGCATTGGGAGAAAATTACCTCAAGTATACAATTTTTCAACCGTTTCTAAGCAATCTCCCAAAATTTCAATATCAAGCAAGCAAGTATGGTCCTCCACATATCAAGAAAATGATCATGAAAATCGAAACAAGTCTAGAATCCATGTGAGAGGTCCGGCATCAAGTGTGTTGCTATCTTAGCCAACTAGAGAAGTAATCACATCCTTACCCTCAAACTAGCACACAAATCTAGTCCCAATCATCAAGACAAAAAGTGGACCTTTTATTAAAGCTTTATTGTTCTAGGTACGCTTATTCTTTTCACTCTATTTTATTTATTTATTTATTTATTTTTTTTATTGAGGATCAAAGATGGAAGTATTGTGCAATGTGTTGATCTCTTAAGCTTTCTAAAAGATTCATGTAGCGAGCTTTAGGTCAATGACTCCCAAACCAGATGGCTTTAGGGCATTAGGTGTTAAGACACCCCTACGGACTTACAAACTCAAATCAACTAGGCTACAAATCAAGACAACAACCATCTAATCATTTCCTACTTCTCACTTTTTGGGAGAAGTCCTCACTTTTATTACTTTTTTTTTTTTTTTTTTTTTTTTTTTTTTTTTTTTTTTTAAATAATCAATTATTAACCTAGAGTTTGGGCCCTCCACCTTTCGGAACGAGAAGTTCACTGCTTAATGAGGCAAGAATCCCGGCTACTCAATGAAAAGGGGTTGTTATCCACCTTTATCAAGAATGAAAGCTTTCAATGCACTACTAGCCCAATTGGGATATAACCAATT